GTAAGTAAATCACATAAAATCACAGGTCAATATGCGAACATACCACGAGAAAGGAAAAACCCCTGCACGCCGTTTTATTTGGATTTTTGAAACGCCGCACCCATTACCACACCACCTCTCGAGAGGTTGAAGTACTACAAGTGACCTTGCCCATCCACCACGGGGGCAATTTCCCACGGCCAATAAGGTAGCCCCTGTGACGTCATACAGACGTTCCATCAAACAGGCAAACGATGACGTATTTAGAAGCATGTTTATGAAATAGTGAAATTTTGCTGTCTTTTGTACTTGTACACCAATAATGCCGTCCAAAGGCAAAGGCCCATATGTTTATTTTTTATCCAGTTTGAGTTTTTATTGGTCACTTGACTTGGCTTCTCAACCTGAATTTGGTTATGTAAATCATTAGCCAAAGTTTACACAAACGTTAAGCCTTTTTAGGTAACAGTTTGTGAAAATTTCAACAAATGCTTTAAATAACTCACTTCATATGAGAGGTGGATAAAAAAACGCAAAATGGTAAAATATTAACAAATGGGATTACCTTTGGACGGCAGAAAAGTAACGAGTGAGCCAATTCCATCATATTTAATTCCTCAACACCTTCAAATGTGGAACACTGCCTCCAAGTGTCGAACCTACAACCTTGCCACCGCGGGTCGACCGGTCCGGCTAATAAGTTCCCCAAACCGAGTCCATCTGCACTAATCCACAGCGACGTCGCAGAACAGAGGGCGAACACGTGTCCCTGGTCCGGTCCCGGGGGAGAACCCTCCGTGCCGCGAATACCAGCCTCCGTGGCCCCAACGGCTTAGGGGAATTGCGGGTCAGAGGTCAGCGCGAGAGTTCGCGGAAGGGAGGGAAGGGGCGCGCAGGCGGCGGAGCGCTCGCTAACCAGGCATGACTCCCGCAGTCATCGGGACAATCAGGACAGAGCGCTAACGGGGTCGGGCCAATAAGGACAGAGCGCTGACGGAATCGGGCCAATCAGGACAGAGCGCTGACGGAGTCGGACCAATCAAAACAGAGCGCTGACGGAGTCGGGCCAATCAAAACAGAGCGCTGACGGAGTCGGACCAATCAAAACAGAGCGCTGACGGAGTCGGGCCAATCAAAACAGAGCGCTGACGGAGTCGGGCCAATCAAAACAGGGCGCTGACGGAGTCGGGCCAATCGGGGCAGCGAGCTCGCGGAGTCGTGTTTGTAATGCTGCGCTGCTGTCATCGATTGTTCCGAGAAGTCCTCTCGCACCCACATACCTGGTAAATTGCGCCGATTCACGTCCAAAGACACGGTCATACCCCTTTTGCATCCCGCTTGCGACTAAAGCGACACTCAGACTACAAAGCACATTAAAGACATATATAAGCAAGCGGAAGCCGACAACAGTGACACATGTCATACCAATTCCATGCTGCGAACGATGTCATCCACGAACTGAAACGAAGAGCTGGGTCACTCGCGTTCAGTTCGAACAGATGTACTTTGCTCGCTTTTGGTGAGGCTCGGCATCTGCTGCAGCTGTGTAACCGGAGCACAGCATGACAACCGGCCAGTAGGGCTGTATGTCATACAGCATCATAACAGATCCGTCAAACTTCCGGTCCTTCATTGTGATAAACTCCGGTTGTGCAACATAGCCGTCACATTTATGCCCGGTGCCTTTGAGACTTAACGTCTTCGTGGCACTTGGGAATGTGTACGCGCACTCTAAAGCTCAACAGCAATGCTGTCCCGCGGGCTCCGTATCCATCCCAGCGCTCAACGCGGGTATTTCGGGTCATACACCCTGCCCCCATCCAGAGGCTGTAAAGCGGTGACAGGAACAGCTGGGACTCGTCGCGTTAGCCTGTTCCCAGGGACTAACCGCGGCAGCGTTTGACCTTTCGCAACCGACATGACACCATTAACACACAGGCATCCAACGGCCGATGGCCGCGATTACGCCCGTGCCGACAGGCATTTAGCATAAATAATGCAGGAATGTAAAGAGACCGGAAGTCATGCTTTCCGGCCCCGATTCGAACCCATGTGAGATATACAACACCGGACATGATAGCACGCGCTTCGAACACTGCGTTCGGATGTCTGCCATGCAGACGCTGATGGAATTTGTGTCGAATTTTGGCCAGCCGGTGTGGTAATCTTTTCGGGTTGTTATTTGCAAAAAATCAGCAATTGTAATGTGCTATGCACTTGTGTTTGTGTGCGTTCTTTCTGGAGCATGTTGAAAAGCATGTAAGTAAATAGATGAAACAGAAGAAAAATATTGTTCAACATACTGAGAATATTCGATGTTTCCAGGCAGTGCTCACGAACACGAGTTCCCACCATGCCTGAACACGAGGGGGCTGAAGTCCTCGCCTGCTCATATCAAGGTGAGTACTCAACCAGACGGGATGGGTACTCATCGATGGCGTTTTTCGGCAAGCACTGATCTTCCGGGTCATATCAGAGAAGCCGTATGTCAAAGCTGACCCCACACAAATGTGCTCACCTCACCTCACCTCACCTCACCTCACCTCACCTCACCTCACCTCACCTCACCTCACCTCACCACACCACACCATTGCTGCGTGGTTTATGGATGACGATTCTACTGGTCAATGGCTTATCGATAAATTAAAACTGGAGTCATCGCTGACAAGAGACTGAAAATACAGGCCACGCCAACTATTCCATGAAAAGTCGATCACATGATATCGGTGCATTATCGCTCACAGAAAACGTGCAAGTCACATGGCCTAGCGGCGTATGGAATAGAGGCAGGCGATGACCAGTTAGAAAGCCACGAGCCGTGACCAGGGATTCGCATTGTGACCGGATTGCGGCATTGATGTCCGCAAGTGATAATCACAAAAGCACCTCGCTCATTGTGGTGTAATGGATATCGTCAGGTCATCCCTGGTCATCCCACGCCATCCCAAGGTGATACAAGGTCATCCCTGCACCGATGTCCGACAGCGACTGGCCAGATTTTCCACTTATGGAACACGCAATAGATACATGCGTGCGAAAGCGTTAATAATGTCTGTAGTCGATAATCATGCGCATGAGATGGGTCGAAACAACTCATATAGTCGACAATAATGCGTACATAAGTCAATGATAATACAAGGCTGTATGTTTTTTCCAGCAACGCTATTAAGGCGCCATTAGACTTGTGGAACATGCGTGCTTGACGATCCTTTTAAATATGGTATCCGTTTATGAAGAACAACGTTTTTAGTTGCGTAAATCTGTTGACATTGTTTGCGTTAGCTGCCCTTTTGTTGCCGAGATACGTATTCCTTATCAAACTCTGCCTCACCTGCGTTTAACACTTTAAGTATATTTTCCCCAACAGAGCAGAACGGCATTGATGTACAACACGGACGAAGTTACCAACTGGCAAATCATAATTACTCGTTCCGAACACGAACGGCCAGACCATTTGACATCCAGCTGACACTAAAGTGCTGAATTACACGGAAGTGATTCCGCCCACATGAAAGTTGAGCCTAGATAAGAAATTCATGGGCCGCAATATGCCATCTAAACATTCCAGGATTTTACGACGCAATTTCATAAATAGCTCTAAGCGAACATCAATAGCTGCCCAATCCAAAGCACATCGAACCGCACACAAAGGCGTATAACTCAGCTTAAAATGATTGATGACAGCGGCCCCAGCCCCGGATGGATAGTTTATGGTTCGTTAAGGCTCAGACGCATTGCGTTTTAAACAACGCCCAGCGGCGCCGAAAGCGTGGGTGAAAGTGGTTCTCACACAGTGTCATGTATTCCGGAAGCATCGAGTCGGTGGATTGGGAACCACGCAACATTTAGGACGATCAGAAAAACTACCAACGAAGCGTGGTAAAAAAGGAACTAAATGGAGCAGCAACGATTCGGTAGAATTACAGGCGTGGTCTATCACAACCGCGGAGAATGCGATGTCAGGATTTTCATAAGAAGTTCAAAAATATAAAAGTCAGGTGAGCATGCACTCACCGCATCTTCGAAGATGCATTCGCTTTTCTTTACACGAAAAAATGCCACTAGCTGGTATGCCACTGTGATTTTTGCATTATTGAATTTGGACTTGCGTTTAGTTAGTTTGTAGTTTTATTTGCGTGTATGATCAGCAACCAACACCGCCATCACGTTACAATACACTGAATCAGAGCGCCGAATCATGTCAAAACTTGGATCGGAATCGTACAGAGCAGCTCAAGATACAGGCACTTATCACTTAACTTAAATGGCGTGTATTCTTATTAAGTCACTGAGTGGTGGAGGAAGTCACGAACCTTTGACCGCCGAACCAAAAATATGTCATGTTAGTGATATAGGATAGATACGTTCCACGTTTCCAAGCGCCAGTGACCGCCGACTTGAGCACCGACGCAACCAGCTGCGATGAGCCATGTGAAGGACTCCCTATTCTAGCCATGCATTAGACGGGTATTGGAAGAAGTGGTGGGATAGAAGTAGACGGCTAGCTAACTGATGGACCCCACAATGATGGCTACGTAACAGTTGGACCAATATCAGTCACTTGATCACACAAAGTAGTTGGTGGAATTTCGGTTCAGGCTGTAGCCGCAAGAGAGGACGCCTGGTGGGGTTGAACGGCGTGGCAGAACATTAAGGGACTGTATAACGGTACCGCTGCGTAACGACATTGCTGCGTAATGGCATTGTTGTGTAATGGCATTGCCGCGTAATGGCATTCCTGCGTAACGCGTTGCGGCAACACTGCCAGCAGTCACAGTGCAAGCGTAGCTGAAGCAGTTTTCTAGCAGTCATTTATAGTGAAAAATGATCGCTGAAAAACAAGGCAACACTGAAAAGATAAACGATGCATTACGAATGAAAAACTAGATGATGTGTTGGAAAATTGAGAAGTGGTAACATGGAAACAACAAAACAAACGTGTAACGCTGGTTGGAAACGGAAGCGACGCTCGTTCCGGTGCCAAGGTCTCACACTGTCGGCACCGGCGCTGCTGAACTGACCTGCTTCGCCTCGCGTTCCGCCAGCGATGACCTGCCGGGCAGGTAGTCCTCGATGCGACCCGGCTGGTTACGGTACAGCGGCCGACGCGGCGCTGACGTCACGCCGAAGCTGTAACCACATGAGCCCCGCTGGTTACTGAGAGGCCGCAACGGCTGGTTACTGAGGGAGATGCTTCGGCTGGTTACGGGGAAACCGCAACGACTGGTTACAGGGGAAGCCGCAACGGCTGGTTACTGGGGAAGTTAGATGCTGGAACCAGTAAAATACATCTGGTTCCACCGCAAATGACGACCTGGCTGGTTCCAGCACAAAGGATTGTGTCACTGGTTCCAATACAAGGGATGGTGACACTGGTTCCAATACAAAGGCTGGTGTCACCGGTTTCAGCACAAGGGATGGTGTCACTGGTTTCAGTACATATGATGGTTTTACGCTTCGCCGTAAACGGAACACACATATGCTGCGTTAACTGAGCAGGGATATTGATAATGATGATCGTATAAGGTCGCGGCCGCCAACCGCCGCTGTTCATATGACGTCACGGTTCTGGACCCACATAAGTGCGGCTGGTTATCGACAGAGACGACGATACGGCCAGTTAAATGCACTGCCAGTCATATGTAAAGGAGATGAACTAGAGGCGCACAAACTGTGGAAGCGATCCGGACGGTAGTCTCTTCATCAGAACTTCGCCAAAGACCGCGAGCTCAGGTGACTATTACATGTATCGGTGCACGACACGGCGCGGCGAGATTTGGGCCCAACTGTAATTCAGTCAACCGGATGTGAGGGTAGTGTCCGGGTTCTGCACACGGATGGTTCCCTTTCACCCACAGTGGGTTTAAGACGCACAACATTTCATGTTTCTCACATGGGCAAACTCCCGACATGCCAGCCCTCCCCGTCACTCGCTCAGCGTAACCAACGCTAGAGCGCGTTGTATGGGCACTCGGAACCAGGCGGCAAAGGAAGAAAGAAGCAAACGCTCACTGCTAGTGCGACGTCTCTTTTTTAAATGAAAAGACGTAAAACTTGACACGGATAACCTGGCACGAAATGTTATGCAATCATGCAATGATCATGTCACTAAAATGTGTTCGACCCTTGCGGTATAACATAATTATAAAGTAACCCACTCAAGCAGCCCCAGACCTTCAGCGGGGTACATCAATCTCCTTAAAATGATCCATAAAACCATCTAAAACTGAAAATTCAAGGAAACCCTGAGTCAACCTCAGGTCAAACCCTGAGTCAAACCTGAGTCACAAAGTGCCGTGGGAACTGGACGAGGGTGGTACGCAGGTTTTACAGCAGGGAGGGGGCACCACTACAAAAACTGTCATTGAAAACTGAGTTAAGCGCGCCACAGGCACGCGAGATTTTTTGCACGTCGCCAAACAGCGTAGCATGTTTGTGATATTCTCATTTTACGTGTCCATCTAAAATAAGTTTGAACTCCCAATATTGAGTGACGTACGTAATCCAGTCCCGCCTTAAATAATCACGTCATGCATGCCGTAAAGTCAGTAAGGGAGGGGCACGAGCGTCCGGTAGCTACCATGAAGGTGCGTCGCTGCTTGCTTATCTACAGAAGACAATGTGCCCATGGCTGCTCCAACTTCCGCCGTACTACATTCCATCGCGTTCACTTCTTACCTCTGAGAGATTGGAAGACACCGGCTGCGGGGAACCCAGCCCGCCTGACAGCCAGCACAGACCGCTCACCAGCACGGCGGCCAGCACAGACCGCTCACCAGCACGGCGGCCAGCACAGGCCGTTCACCAGCACGGCGGCCAGCACAGACCGCTCACCAGCACGGCGGCCAGCACAGACCATTCACCAGCACGGCGGCCAGCACAGACCGTTCACCAGCACGGCAGCCAGCACAGACCGCTCACCAGCACGGCGGCCCGCAAGCTGCCGGCGGCGGCGCGGCGCCATGTCTGTCCATACGGACCAGTGTTTCTGTCCCCACTGAACACGTGCCGTGGCTGTCCTGCCTCCGAACGCTCACACTTCACCATCGATTGCCGCCGGCGACTCGGTCAATAGTACATGACACCGGGGCCTCCAGCTGGTCGGGGTGCGCTGGAAATGGCGCCCGAGGGTTCAAGGGGTCGCCGGGGTCAGCCGGGGAAGAGTGAGGCCACGGGGAGTTGCGTGAAGGTCAAGGACGGAGCCAGCCGTGACGTACGGTGACGGTTTGACGTTCGTAATTTGTGATCAGTTGGGGTCTGGTTTACGTGAGGCAATGCTCACCAACGAATTGAGTGCTCAGAAACCGTGTACAGTGATACTAATTTGCGAATTGAATACTCAGAAACCGTGTGCAGCGATAATAATTTGCGAATTGAGTACTCAGAAACCGTGTGCAGCGATAATAATTTGCGAATTGAGTACTCAGAAATCGTGTGCCACGATAATAATTTGCCGAAGAGCAGAGGCCTAGTTTCGCAACATGAGTTGGGGGGTCCTGAGAAGTGAACAATCATAAAGCATTCCTCCAAAATGCGTCAACAAACGGGTTTCACCCCTGCTTTGGTCCACTTTCTTCTCAGAGTTTGGGGGGCTGGAGTCAAACACAGAGGTGATGGAGTCTTCCCCAACCTAATATAAAACCACACCCCTGCCCTAGACAAATTGAGTTCTTATTCGACAATGATCACCCAATCGTTTTTAATCATCTTGCGTGACAGCCAGCGAGGACAGTTTGTTGGTTCCGTTGGATTTGTTAAGTCGTTGTTTTCGTTCAGAACTATTGTCTTCGCGTTAGATCGCGCTAACGGGAAACGACAACGACGACAGGCTATTAAATCCGTGCTATCCCTTCATAAACACGTGAGCGACAAGGCCTGCAGCATGCAATCAAGACGTAGACCCACTCACCAATGTGGCCTACTACGGTATACTACTACACACTTCTACACTCTTGGTAGACTATAGGTCTACTGCGGGCTTTCCACCAAGATCGTAGTTTTTGTGCGTAAAATGATCAAGGCGGTCGAAGCGCTCCTAAGCCTAAACATCATCATCATCGGGCGTAGTCTTCTGTTGAGTCAGTGACTCCAGCCCTCCTTTCCCAACTTTGAGAACAAGATGAGTCAAGTTCGGGAAAGCACGCTTGATGTGTATTTTAGAAGCACATCTAGCAATTCCCTGTGTCCCCCCCCCCCCAGTTTAATTTACGAAACTACCATCCAACCTTCCACAGACCCATTCAGACCATAACGGCCCATCTACTCACTCCGCGTCCGGCTGGTCCCTGCCGCCGAAGGCCGCGCGCCGGCCCGTGTCCGAGGCGTACCCCGCCTCCGGCTCGCTCGCGTATCCACCGCCCTGGTAGTTGTACCGACCTGTCGACGGGTCAGGGTCATCAGCGGCGGCCAGCGGCGCCCGGCGCGGCCGGCGGCCGGCGGCGGCTCTCTCGGAACGTTTGGTCAATACGGCTCGGTCCAGTTTCGGCGGGCGCAAAGCCGACGCGGGTACAGTCGTCTGCTGAATAGGTGGCGGCAGTTCGCACGTGATTGTGCCGAACGGTTTCCGAAGTGTCCTGAGGCCGGACCGCCCACTCAAGTAATGGGTTCAGGCGTCAGCCCTCCCCTCCTCCCCTCCTCACCCACCCCAGTCCAGCCCAGCCCAGTCGGGTGTTTTGTCGGGGGTGGGGTCGGCGCTGAACGGCGCTAGCCCCTCCCCCTTCGCATTATGACGAATCGATGACGACAGGAAGCTCGCCAGGGACCGGGCGTCGGTCACGTGATCAAAACAAGCCGGCTGGGTCGCTCCAGTCCACAGGTCATCGCACGTCCACTACAGTGTATACACTACATCGCAGTCCACTACAAGTGAAATCACGCTGTCGGAGCGGGATCTACCCCGGAGGTGGTGGTGCGATTGGTTCCCTTCTGGCTCGGCCAGCTTGCCGATGGCGTCAGCTTGGACTGTGCAGGGTTTCGGCCCAGTCCATTGCGGGTCAATTTGAGGTTGGTTCGGAGATCATTAATACACCGATCTCACGTGTGGAAGCTGGGACGCTGGAAGTTTCGGCTCTGCTTCCTCGACCAGCGTTTGTACTTCATGCGCCTCATTACCCGGGCCGTCAGTTGACGCGTCAAGCCTCATTACCTTGATGCTTTCATCGTCACTGTCAGGCCCCAGCGCATTGATGCGTTCAGTTCGTGAGCCCGACTCCCCGTGGGTTCGTGAGCCCGACTCCCCGTGGGTCCGTGAGCCCGACTCCCCGTGGGTCCGTGAGCCCGTTAATCAGGCACCCAAGAGCTCACGACTATGGGTGATAAAAGGTACCTTGAGACCTTCACTCGCCCATGCGTTGGGCTATTTCGTTGGTAAATTTAGTTTGTGAACCGCAGCTGGGTTCAACTGCTGCGATCCAGTTCGCAGTCGGCGTTATATATGACCCTTAAATACGTAACCTTGTTGAGTTCGAACGGCCCATACGGATAAATCGGATCAGCGGGACCCGGCGCCGTCCCGTGATGGCGTCTACGCACTTCTGCGGAGCATCGGGGTCCGTCGCCAGGTCAGTGCCCTCTCGCCGAGGGGTCGCGACCCCCCATCTCCGCGGAGTGGTGCCCAGCCTCTGTGCCGCCCAGCGCCGCCACGTGGCACGTGCCGGAGCACTTATGACGTTACTAAGCGACAATCGTAGCGGTCGGCTGTAACCGTGTCATGCCGCCGATTCCATTACGCCTGGTCGGAGATTTGGTGCAGTTCGACCCTGCCGCGAGCGGTGGCCATTACTCGACGTCACAAGCGTGCGTGCTTGTGACTAGTCTTCCCAAAATACGCGTAGAAGCTGTCGAGTCTCAGCGAAGTGCATGCAGATAAATGGTGGTGCGTTCCCAAAGCTGGTCTGGCTTCTCAAAACACTGGCGGATGTTCTAGCACCACACTCGGTGGATCTAGCCGTCTGCACTGCGGCACGTGACGCTCGTGTGCGCGATACCAGCTGTTACGTGGACACTCTGGTCTCTTCGTGACATTCTCACAGTCCAGCTTCTCTCAACAGGTCTTTGAAAGCACACAAGTCGGTGTCCACAATAAACATCCCGTGTTCGAAACAATACTTTTTACGCACCACACAGCTGGCTATTTATTTCTCACAGCGGAGTCAAGTCTGTCCGCACCGCACTGCAGTACGTCCGTGTCATACAGCAGCCAGTCAGTGTCACACAGGAGTCTGTCCGCGCCACACAGCAATCTGTCCGCGCCATTCCACAGTCTGTCCGCGCCACATAGCAGTCTGTCCGCGCCATTCCACAGTCTGTCCGCGCCATTCCACAGCCTGTCCGTGCCACACAGCAGTCTGTCCGCGCCACACAGCAATCTGTCCGCACCATTCCACAGTCTGTCCGCGCCACACAGCAGTCTGTCCGCGCTATTCCACAGCCTGTCCGCGCCACACAGCAGCCGCTCCTGTCCGGGGCGCGCCTGCTGCCGAGCACTTCCTGCGTGGCCGCGCCACTGACCTGCTGGGCGGGGAGGGGAGGACGGCAGGCGGGCCGGGCACGTCCGGTCCGGGCGACACCCCGGCTACCACTGCCCGTCAGACCGGCGCGGCCCGCTCCGCCGTCCTGGCGCACAGGCGGCGCCACGCGGCCGCCAGAGGTCTGTGGCGGAGGTGCGTGACGATGTGAAGGCGGAGGAGGAGGGAAATTAGAAGGTTATGGGGTGAGGGTAGAAGCGTGAACTTGAAATGGGGAGGACTCCTCAGAAAACGGTGGTTTGGTGATGTCATTTTAGTGCTCTCCGAAATATCGACCATATTGCTGTGCGCCCCCCCCCCCCCCCCTATTACCCATCCCAGTCTTGGGAATTGTATAAAACTCCTACGCGCGGGTACAATATGAGCTAGTTGTTATGGAGGAGAATGGGAGAACTGCCGCCATAAGAGACAGCAATGATAACAAAATAATGGTGTCTCTGCGTGCGTGCCTAAATTACGGGACTGCTTATGCAACTCAGCGACTCTGCGCTGCAGGGAATCATTGTCCGCCAAAAGTTTTCAAAAAGTTGTTCAAACGTCTGTGAAAGGATTTCAACGTACATATCATAGTACGTACGTACATATCGACAGTATCCATAGCCTTATTCCTCGTAGAATAACTAAGAGAATGGAGAGGTATATGTGATATTGTGGCTACATGCTCTTATGAAACAAATGCTAGTTGCAACGTCGGAAGTAATTTACTACTGTCGATGTAAAAGTTGGACAAACATCGGGAGTTCAAGCCATCCGAAGAGGCAGTAAATACCATCCATGCAATGTTATCAGTGATGTTATCAGAACATTTGATGTCAAGGTCACTAGACCCTATGGGTGTCCCCGCCCACGCACCCTCTACTCATTTCGCACCTGAGCGAGCACCGGTAGGAGCTAATTCTCGCCCCTTGCCATCCGCCTGACCCCCCCAGGACACCTGGCCGCGTCCTTCCGCGCCGTTCTGTTGCGTCTGGTTAGGGGAGAGGGGAGCGGATCAGCTCAGGATTTCAAGGGCGCTGGAGAAGATCTGGCGGGCACATGTCGCAGCTGTTGACAGAAGAAGGAGGATGGGAAGAGGAGGAGGAGGAGAAGGAGGAGAGGAGATGGGGAGGATGATGAGGAGGACCAGGAGGAGGAGGAGGTTAGATGAGGGGCCCCAAAGAGGAGGAGGGAAGGAGGAGGAGGAGGGGTGAGGAGGATGAGGAGGAACCAGGAGGAGGAGGAGGAAGATGAGGCAGAGGGGAAGGAGGAGGGGGATGAGCAATGAGGAGAAGGCAGAGGAAGAGGAGAGGAAGAAGGGAGGCGGAGGAGGAGGAGGAGGAGGAGGAGGCGGAGGAGACGGAGGAGGAGGAGGAGGAGGAGGAGGAGGAGGAGGAGGAGGATTATTCAGGAGAAAGGAGACGAGGGGGAGGCAAGGAGGAGGAGGAGGAGGAGGAGGAGGAGGAGGAGGAGGAGGATTATCAGGAGAACAGGAAGAGGGGGAGGAGGAGGAGGAGGAGGAGGAATATCAGGAGGAGCAGGAAGAGGGGGGGAGGAGGAGGAGGAGGAGGGGGAGCGAGATTCATCGCGGGGACATAAGCGGTGTGACAGCCGCGGCGGGGTACAACCTCCTGCCCTGCCGTCCGTGGCGCTCCAGCACGTCTAGCATCCCACCCAGCCGCAGCGCGCGGCGGGCAGCGCCAGCTCGCGCCGCGTCTATCAGGCGACGGCGTCAGCCCGTGAGTGGTGAGCCGCTGGTGGACGGCCAGCAAGACCAGCTGGAGCCGGCTTAACCCGCACCACGCACCAGGGCGAGGCGAACCGTCCGCACCGAACACCGGATGGGGCTGAGCAACCAGCACCCGTCCATCGCTTGGAGGTGAGGATGCGGCGCTGCTGGCTGACGTGAGGGACGCTGCGAAAGGGCTTTGGCTTCGGCGGAAGCGCCGGAAACTCGTAGTAAAGAAGACAGACGGACATCCCCAAGGCTCCGCGCAGGCTGAATGAGGCGTCGTAAGGCCGCCATATGACACGTGAGTGACACGTGTTACGTGACCCTAACTTACTGTGCAGCAGCACAGCAAGTTTAAGGCCCAGATAAAGGCCCAGATAACATAAACGCGAGTTTAGAGCGACTCCTCCTGGGGCTGGCCACGCATGACTCTAATGTTACCCGACAGAATCCATTGGCTGTCCATTGGTCTGGACAAGAGCTGACTTGACGGCAATGCCATCATTCTTGACACAGCCGGCTAAGCAATGGCGTGTCAACTTAAAAGATGACAGATAGGATGCTCGGGAAGCTGTGAAACTTTCCGAACCGGAGATGAATGTTGAAAGGCGTGGATCATTGACATGTCGCATTCCTTGAACGGGTAATGCAAACTTGAAAGGCGCTTAAAAAGGAAATTGGTGGCCTGAAACTGATCCTTCCACGAACACTCTCAAAACGGTTGTCCTACGGCTGCCCGCCATGCCAGCACGTGTCTTCCCTGACGTCAGACTTGCCCAAAGCTGTCTTATCTGGGCGTTGTTCACGTCCGTGAGACCGACTGACGAACGCTCATCTGTCAGGTCAGACTTGGGTCATAGGTCACTCTGTTAGGTCAGACTCGGGTCACGGATCATTTTTCGGGTCAACGTCGCTCTGGGTCCGGTCGTTGTTATCGTCGTCAGTCTCGTTAGACTGCGTGGTGGGACATCATTAGCATGATATGATCAAAACACATACAAATTACCAAGCGAAACGCTTAAATGGAAGTGACGGGCGACAAAAACGCGCGTGGAACAGGTCGCTGATCGGTGCTGGTGGTCCCAAAAAGCGTGACAGCGTCCAATCATGAGTCATCACGAGAACAGACACATCAGAGCACACGCTCGGCTCCTCCAAGCCGTGCCAAAAGCTCAAACGACGCGGAGCCAGTCGCGCCCTTCACCATCCCTGGCAGAGCGCACCAGAGCAGCGCCGGCGCCGGCGTGCGCGCGGGGGCGCGGCGATTGTCGTACCAACCAAGTCGTCACGCTCGAGGGCGCTCGCGCACGAGACGCGACAGAGGTGAGCGGCCGGCGCCGCAAACACGCCCACCGCCGGGCAGCGAGCGACGGCCCGTGTTTGGGCGGAGGTGCGCACGCCGACAGACACGCACCACGGCGTCACGGGGGGGGGGGGGAGGGGCAGGATAGAGCAGTCAGGTCGAGCGAAGCACGGTACCCCATGCATGGCAAGCAGCGGAGGCGCAGGGGCGCAGCGGCGCAGCCAGGAGAAGGGGAGGGGCCCCCCTTAGGCTCGCATTTTGGTATTAATTCAGCATAGATGGCTCCCGACAACAATGTAAAAATCGGCGTGATGCGTTCTCATGCATGCATGCATGCGTTCGTGACCGAAGCTTGCTTCCCCCGGAGAAAACGCTGGCTGCGTCCCTGGTAGGACGTCGCGGTGGTGAAAGACGTTGGAAATCGGGAAAGAGGATGAAAGAAAAATCAAGAAGACAGAGATGTGATAGCCGTGCTTGAAAACACATAAATTAGAAACGGTATGGACTTACATAAAAAGTCCAGAAAAATCTGCTTTTGATGTTAGAAAAACAAGCAGCGCCAGACAAATATAAAAGGAAATGCGTCAGAAATAGCAAGAGTGAGCATTAGAACACAAACCGAAAGTTTCCTTCAACATCAATAAAACAGCAACGCCCAAAAGCGTTCGAAATTTTGTTAGTTTCGCAAAATGCAGCGATGGGGAAAACGCTAAAGTGGACAGACGCGTGATTGCATCAGCTGGACGAGCACAGATTACCTTTAGTTTTGTACAGAACCCGGACACCGTCTGAAACGTAGATGATCATCCGCGTTATCGGCTTCGAAAACATTCCCGATCTGTGCGGAGGACTTTGAGCTGGAACCTACTGAATATGCCGCCAACACGTATGGACCAATCAGCGGGCAGCAATATCACAGAACGAGATGACTGACCCTGCATGCCACGACAGTAATGATTTAACAGGCTTCTACTGAGCAGAGCGCAGAAGAACTAAGCAGGCAGCTGAGTGAGCTCCGGAGGTCATTTTCCAGCACCTCGCCCTCCCACGGGAACATCAGGACAGCGGGCGTTTGGACAGAACAACGCTGCATTAGCACGCACCCCACCGCCGCACAATACCACTGTGCGTAAATTGCAGGCTGCGCCTCCGTGTCGGCGGCCTGGATATGGCAGCACGGGCGTCATCAGCGACCTTGAGCCGCGCCGACAACGCCCTCTATTGACGACACCGCGAAACAATAGCGCGCCGGCCGTTTTGTGGCGGCCGATTTTTTCACTGGTAACGCGCGTGCGCCGGTCCTTTGGCGGCGCGTCACGGCATGACAGGGGCGCGCCCAGGCGCAACCTGGCCGGGCGCCGCAGGGACGTGTTCAGGCGCCGCGTGTGGAAGGTCACGGTAAAGGCGTTGCTAGGCAAAACGGTGAAAATCTGAACACGGGCGGCGCACTTGGCGAACGAGGAGCGCTTTTTGTGCCAGAGAAAGCCTTTCAGAATACCGGTGCATGAGCCGAAGGTTTTGTGCTCATTTACAAGGAGCATCCCACCTTTTTGTACTTTTCACTCATTGTTACAGCAGACATGTACGACTTGATCACCAATAGAAGCTTTCTCGAAGCCATCCCGAAAGGTCAGGATTTGAAGTAGCCACTCCTGCGGGAAAGTCTCATTTGGCCCGCTGCTCACCACTATTAAAGTAAAAGCTTTTATTTACCTTGCTGTTTCCAACGTGCGTGTTCCGTAATGTGTTCGACACACCAATGTGTCAAAAATGCTTGGGTAATAAATGGTACGAAAGCTTGGTGCCCTCTGTTCATACAAACAGATATGGAACGTGAAGCTATCATCCTGCGAATTCAGCAAAGCGATATATTATGGCTTTGATTTCTCCCCTACGGCGTTTACCACAGCGGCCCTTTTCGCGGTGCAGTTAAGCATTAAGAATCGCAGTATCACATAGTCCATAGTGATGCACTGGTGCAAACCTCAACCAGTGCGCTTATCGGTAACAAGATCATAACACCCGATGGGCCAATCACAAACGTTCTTCTATTCGCACCAGTAGATGTACGGAGGGCAGTAGTCAAGACAACGGTAATCGCGACTGCGGGGAAGAAGTGCAGTACTGCTACAAAGCGTTGACAGTGTAATGTGGACGCAAAAGTAATTAAAATTGATGTCCTTATTATGTCTTGACGGTGGTGCAGTGGCACGACCCAGTGCTATTCCAAGACGTAACAAGCCCTGAGGTTTCACTAGAGTATGCTTTTGGAACATGTCCCAAAGATGGGACATGTTCCAAGCCGGCTAGCCCTTCAAGCTGGCTAAAAACTGCCCCCCCCCCACCCCCACCCATACCCCACAGGTCGATCCCGCCCTCACCTCTGCCGACTGTCATCTGCCCCCACACCTACCGGTTCTCTGCCACACGACGGCGGGGATTGTCTGCACAGTGTACGTCCCCCCCTCCCCCCCCCCCCCCCCACAAACACACGTACAAACATGGCAGTGGAAGTGGGGCGCCGCGGCGGGCGCTGATTGGCTGCCATCGACGCCGTGGTTGCATTGTGGTTGCGTTGTTATCTATGTCTGCCGCGCTGCCGTTCGCGGAGGCCGCGCAAACTGAAAGCAGCCCGCTGATTGGCCCACTGTGTCCGCCTCGCTGATTGGCTGATTGGCTCCGTTACAGCAGTGACGTGTTACGTGTGAGCGCGTGTGTTGTGAGGTGGAGGTCTGCCAGCGTTTTATAATTATGAACCAAAGCGATTTGGATGTCAGATATTAATCTCTGCTGGCTGACGCATGGTTTGCATTGTCCGACATCAATGACCTGACAAGGTCACTGGGCACTGATGACCGATGGAAACCCCCCATCCCGCATCGCGTGCGCACAGGTCGCACCAGGACCCAGGTCCAATCTCACCAGCAAGGACATTCGCTCTCGACCCCACGCCCTCACGAAGCAGGAAACATCCAGCCAACAACAAGCGGTTGTCACGCGCAGACCCTGGCGCGCAGCATGCCGCTTGTGCCATATAGCGGCATGCCATAGAGCGACATGCCATACAGCGACATACTCCAACGTAATTAAAATGCGCAATGGGCCGGCAACGTACATTGCAGGCAGCTGTTCCATGGAATGAATCTGCACACCATCGGTCCTCAGTGAATCCTCCGCGTTCTGGGGAATCGCCCGGGCCGCACTGCCCATTGGCAGAGTGCCTACCTGAGGTTGCAACCTATGACGTCACAACTGTCTACGTCACACGCAAGCTGCTATTCTCCAAACCGTACGGACTGTTGTGAGACACTTATCTCTGACATCATACTTCGACATTTGTGGACGGTACTTGGCGGTGGGATACGAGGTCCTGTGGTCGGGCGGGTCATTCAAACTGAAGACCACGCCCTCGCCCCTGCCAAGGGCGATGCTACCGCCTGCAAAACTCTGACCGAATACCTGCAGCGTCCAAGTTCCATCCTCCCACGTCCCCAGCGCGGCTGGCGCCTCCTCTCCGATCTGACCTGACCTGACCTGATCTGACTTGATTTGACATAACCTAACCTGAGCTGACCTGACACTATATAGCGTGGCCTGATACGACCTGACGTGACCTGACATTACCCGATATGGCCTGACCTAGCATGACCTGGTTTGAGCTGACATGACCTGCCACGACCCGACCCATGGTCCGTACCTGGCTTGGCGCGATGCAGGCTGTCGTACATCAGCTTGTACCACTCGGGCTGGTGCTCCTCCTTGACCGCCTGCGGGCAGGCACGGCACACCCTTCAGCTATCCGGCCAGTGAAGGCACGCCAAGTGCACGCCACATCGACGTCAAGTGCACGCCACATCGCGCATCTTCGTGACCAACTGACAAGCACATTGTTTCGCCCCACGGCTCCATGGGCCCCACGAATCTTCGTGTGATATTTCGGCAGTTTGGAATCCGTCTTCCGGTGGTTTGTGCCCATTCCACCAACGCCCAATTTGATGACGACAGCGTTGAAATTCTGCAGTCGACGCGGACGATATGGCCGCACATAATGGAATGGTGGCGACATAGTCGCCATCTGCGGCGAGCGGTCCAGCGCCCAAACCCCGTACACACAAACGCAGATACAAATAAACATCAAACTGGATGCCTTCACGCTCAAGTGCGATTGCGCCAACGGGGAATGTTTGTTCCGTTGCTAGCATGGAAATGCGAAACAACTGCCCCTGGTTCGTATATCCGCATCGTCAGATGGTGTTTCGCCGCCTCCCGTGAGCAGCGCGCGACAATCCGCGACGGTCACGACGGTGTCAGTTGCAGGTGTCACAAGATAACCGAAATGGTTTATGATGCGGATTGAAAATGTGACGTCAAGTGTTCGATAGCATACGTCTACGATATCGTAGTGCACTTCCGTGCGCTTCTTCCGTGCATGGCTCCTAATGTCCTTGGTTTCCTGTGCAATAAGTGAGGCGCATGGCGCCACGTCATCAGCTGTCCTTTCGTCTCTTAACAACCACCGTCGGGCCGCTGGCAGGGCCCATCGGCATCGCCCCTCCCCCTCCTCGTCCCGCCCGCCCCGCGCTGGGCGGCCCGGAGCTCCCAGGCTGATTGTCACATGACCTCCCGGCGGGCGCGGCTACCCCTTCCCTTCCCCCCCCCCCCCCCGCACGGGGGGGGGGATCGCGTGCGTCATGCTCGTATTGTTGCCACCGCACCGACCGCCCCACTGGCGACAGGATGAGACCGGCGGACCGTGGTCAGGCCTGGCCTGACGTGGTCTGATCTGAGCAGCGCTCTGCAACGGCTGCCCCGCACGGTCTGGATGGTTAGGGACGCGCTCTTGTGCACTTCAGGACTAATTATGAGGTAGCCTGCGACCATCCAGCCTTTAAGCGTTGCCGCATCCCCTCAAAAATTCCATGACGCTGATCTCTTTCCCCACAAAATGTACGTGTCTTCATGTTTCCTAATAATTTGTTCTTTGGTTGGACACGGACAAGTCCAACAGACACCTGAGCTATCAACAAGTAATGCTGCCTTTCACCAAAGGGAGCCCCGTTTCCTCCACTGAGCATGACCCCAAAGGCTTCCCTGCTGGTTAGGCCGCCGGAGCCCCAGAGAGTTAGCCGCTATCAGAGCTCGACCAATCGTCCAGGGGACGCGACTCTGCCTTGAGCGCAGCCAGCACCACGCACGACGTCCCAAGCTGCCAGCCGCTCCCAGTGGTCCACTGAATCGCACAAATGATCGACCCCAACAGCAGGTCATTCAGCAGCACTCCCGGGTTGGAAAATGACGGTTTTCAACGGGCGGGCGAGGCCGGCAACTGTGGTTTTTTAACTACCCATATCGGTTTATGCGTTCGAGGTTAATGGCGCAGAGTCAGGTAGGCCGCCCCGCAACGCAGCCGGCTTTGGTGGTTGCTTCTGGGATGGACGATGATCGCGGTTGCGTGGAGGATTGGAACGTTTGCATGTTTACGCGGTGTGTGAAAATGGGTCGTTGCATGGAAACGAAAGTCATGGTTTATGACACATGCCCGGAAGCCACTGTGCCGGCCAAATGCGTTGGTAACTTGCAGATAAACGCAGAAGCCAAAACCGCATAAGTGACATCACGGAATGACTGGTGGCAAGCCACAGGAGCTCATCTCACCGACTTCAGCGTCACGGGCATGCCCTGGTGGGTCCTGGGTCCAACGCCTTCGATAGGTCGAGGAGCGAGGTCGGCGAACTTGCGCGTTGCGCCGTCCGTCTGGGTCTCGTACTCGCGCTTGATGGTGTACACTGAAACATCGCTTCCGGTGACCACTATGGACGGACATTGGCGTAACCGAAACATCACGTCTGGTGACCATTCGGGACACTGGTGTAACCGAAACACCACGTATGGTGACCATTTGGGACACTGGTGTACACTGAAACACCGCGTATGGTGACCTCTCGGCACACTGGTGTAACTGAAACACCACGTATGGTGACCACTCGGGACACTGGTGTACACTGAAACACCACGTGTGGTGACTTCTCGGCACACTGGTGTAACTGAAACACCACGTATGGTGACCACTTGGGACACTTGTGTACACTGAAACAGCCCCTTCTGACCACACAGAGCATTTGTGGATGACACAAAACCACATGTTCGGTATCTACGCAGGAAGTCACGTACACAGAAACATCGGCGCGAGGCTGACAACAGCAAAAAATCGGGCATCGGATCTGTGATTCGTTTCATGCTTGTTGTCAGTTGTCGTCATGCCGCAGTGCTGGCTCTTGCATGACTGACTGGAATTCCGTATTCTGACGAGGGCGAGATGTATCCAGATACAAACTAGTTGTTTAACGATAGAACATGGTTCTATCAAACGACCACATTATTGGCCATGCAGATGTTTGGTAGTATAAGAGACCATGTGCCGAGGTTGAGCCACTCTCCTATGAACAACACGATCCTTAAAGAAATCATTTCATGTGAACTGTTATTGCGTTATCAACGCGAGCAGACACGACCAAAATGGCGCATGTTAACTAATAAAATGTCGCTGTGACCCACACTTCACAATTAGATACAGAAGCTCATGAAAAGCACGGTTATAAGCACGTTTATGACACTCTTGTCACGAAAAATTCTGCAGAAAAACGCAACGCCTTAGTAGTGGATGAAACACCAAGTCTCATGTTCATGCCTGTGTGCCGCAGGGTCATTGGCAAGGAAAACAGAAAAAAAATGGTAGCTCACAAAAAAGTTATGTTCCTCCAGTTTCTTCGACACCAGGAATACATGAAATTCGCATCTCAACAATGCTTAATTTTGGATAAATTAACGGAAAACCTGCGAGATATGACAATTCTGAAACTGGCTGATCTACCGCCTGATCTTAAGTTTAAGCTACCAGTTCCTTGTCAGACATTGCAAATGGTGTGTTTTAGAGCAACGAGAAAGGAACGAACAGCGGCACCGTCAGACAAATGGCCATTGTCCACCGACGAGCGAAGTAGGGTTAATAAGCCGCGACACAAAACAGTTATATCGAGCGAGTCAAACCTTACCAGATTTCGGGAGAAGCTTGCCTGAAATAAATGTGCGGGGGCGGCTTAGCACTATGACAACGCTGCTGCTCAAGTGCAAGGTCGGAGCGTGGGCACCAAGCATGTTTTTATCGCAGCCGCCCATGAATATAATTTGGCATCCATGCTGAAGCATTGTGTGGTGCCCGATGCAGCGCTGGTACTTCGTAAGTCACAAATTAGTGTGGCCCGAAGTTCTGAGCCTTAGTAGCTGGTAGGCAATGGTAGGCAGACGTGCTGATATCAGTTGAGGGCTGACACATTACCAGCACGTGGTTTAAAGTTTACTATTGCCCATTTCTAGCACCCTGTAAGACAACCATCCGAACCGCACTTTCGCTGGCAAGGTTGCATTCAATTTAACGCAACAATTCTCATATCATCAGCTAATTTAGCTCCACCGAGACCACCTCGCAAAAGACGGAGATGGTCGCCAAGCCACGGCGGTATCGGAGTCCCCACAAGCCAACCAGTCCCCCACCCAGACGCACCCAGTCCCTCCGCTTGCCGCAAATGCCACCAGCTGGCAAGCACCCTGAACATCGCGGGTGGACCATGACGTAGTCCTTGAGTTACGATGACGTCACAGCAGTGGCGGCGGCCAAGAGTTCAGACCACGACGTAAGCTGAATGACAGCACCCACAGCGATCCGGATCGTGCTTCGCATTGCTGTAACCGACGTCTTGGCGGCAAAGATCCCCGGCCGGTGAGTGAGCGGGCCGGCATTCCAACAGCTCGTCACCTTGCTCATGTTTTCACGCTTTCAGCTCCGGCCAAGTGGAAGTCAAATACACCTCACCCGCCAGTTCGGCTGCCGGTTTACCCAGATCCCGCCGACGTAAAACGAGTAAGCGCGCTAGCAACCGACGGCGAACACGTGTCCCCGTCTATTCGCCGCTGTCATCGCCTCGTCGACGAAACCACACGCGAGCGTTCGCCTGGCGGCAAGCGGCTGAACTTACGCTTCTCGTTGGGACCGGCAAGCGGCGGTGTACTGTCCAGCGGCAGGTACTTGGCGCCCCTGGGCAGATGGCCCTCCCTGTTCTGCTGCAGCAGCGTCACGGTAGGATTCTGCAACAGTGCAACGTAACGCGCTCCGTTAGCGGACGTAGCACAGGCGAAGGCAAACTCCGTTTATCATAACAGACTGGAGGCTGTCATTGCATCGACGGAGCCACCAACCCAGTGATTATATATATATATATATATATATATACATATATATAAAGACAAGTGAGAAATACAATCTAGATGTCTGGGGGAGAATTCAGTGGTTCCGCGCTTATGCCTTCTTAGCTATCCTGTCCCATTACACCCAGTGAGCTTTCAGAGAGAAGTTAAGTCAGTAAAAAAGACAAACAAAAGGCAATTAAGCTAGTAATGTAAGTAGCAAAAGTCAAACAACTTAACTCGCTGCACTTATCAAAAACACATTATACGCACTGGGTACTTATTGGTTTGACATCCCACCTGCAGCTTCGGAAGGTTCCTGGAGGACGACCGTGGGTCCTGCCTGAAGGAGTCCGGTTCGTGGTTACCGTGGTCACCAACAGATGTCGGGATGGGCGGCTCGGGCGATGTCCATGCGAAGCTTTCCGATGGTGGCGGCGCCGGCTTCAACTCCTGCAATTTTAAACACCGAAAGGGCTGTCTGAACCTCGCGTCACGCTTTCGCTACACAGTTCATCTATCAGAAGCGCATTTTGTTTTGATCAAGGTGTGCCGGGTGCCGCGCATAGAAAGCCACTAGCGCTTTTTCCTCCGTGCTTCTCGTGGGTGATGCTTTTCCCGGGGCCAGGTCTCCAAATACTCATGAGGCTCTCACATTAAGCTTGTTGTATCTAATGAGACAAATAAATCTAAAGCATCCCTCGTTTCACCCCGCACATGGATGTACGCGGATCCTGGGGGGAGGGAGGCCACGGGGCCATGGCCCCCCCAAAAAACTCTGAGAGTATGCTTTGCCCCCCCTCCCGAAACATTCCCAGAACTTCATAAAAGTTTCGTCCACTTACCGTCTGTTTTAACTTTGATGGTGCGGTATCAAACATTTCTTTCCTCTTCGGACAAAAAACTTCATGAAGAAAAGTTGGCGGCGATTTGAATATCAAAACAAAACGCATGTTGACGCGCCTTAGTCATACTCGGCGCAGACATCGTGTTTGATAAGTGCACTGGACCTCGGATCTCACACCAGCCAGCTGGCGACGAAAGGTTGCCCCCCTCCCCCCAAAAAAACGACTCCAGGCTAGATCCACCCCTGTGTCCCTTCACTGGTCTGTCTGTCTCGCCTCGCCTAGCTCCAGACTGCGATGGCGACAGACCTGCCCCAAAATTAGATGCGGCGGGGGTAACGCATATAATCATGTTTGAAATGAAACAAACTGCTTCTGAAAATGAGTTAGCATTTGTTTTTTCGACCGTTGTTTAAATTTGAAAACAAGGTGCACGACTGTCTTGCCCCAGTGTCTACAGATTAGTGCGATGCGATGAAGTACAGTCTCGTACGGTCGGTCAGTAGCGTACCGTGCGTTGCTGGCGTTTCAGGCTGTCCGAGTCGTAGTTCACCGGCCGGAACTCTTTCCGCTGAGTGGAAGGACTCTGAACGACTGAAACAGAGACTGTACGTGAACATTGGCCGCGACAAGGGTGGAAAGTCCGCGTCGGTTCAAGCAGAGACTATTTGTTACATCATGCTGAAACAGAAAATTACGTCACCACCGAATCGGCTGGACCAGAGGCTACTGTCACTGGCTGAAACTGGCAGTGATGGTATTATCGAACGGGTAGTTGGTGGGTCGTCACCACTGCCATAGCGACAGTGCGTCATTGCCAACTGAAAGGGTACGTCACACACGCGGCTGCCTCAGCACTGTGCTCAATACGTCAGACACTGCTGTCACAAGGAGGTCGCCAGGCGTGAGTCTGCTGGAGACGCTGGTGCTCATCTTCTCGAGCGAGGACAGAAGTAATGGCCTTATTCCTCGGAGGAAAACCAGGAGAATGAAGATATAGATGGGTTGATATTTCGGCAACATGCCTCTATCGAGACAATAGCAGAACAATTTCGTCTTCTGCTGTCGTCTCGACAACGGCATGCTGCCGAAATATCAACCCATTTATGTTCCCATTCTCCTGGTTTTTCTCTGAGGAATAAGGCTATTACTACTGTCTTATCTTGTGAATAGTGTTCCTCGCTGATGCACCGAGCAGCTTACGTAATTTTCGAATGAAGCTTTAACGGTAGCTTTTCTGGGTGGCCAATGCCGACCTAAGAGGATCTAGCACCTGCTGAAGTCAGTTTCCTTCTCCTCCTCAGTAACTAGTTTCGTTGCACTCAGAGGACGCTTTTCCTCACTGCATATTACTCATCCTCATATGACTGATCTTGCATCCAGAGGACTTCACTGCCGTTTCCAGAGCAATCTTATCGCGTCCCCAGACGGTCTTTCTGCTCCGAGAGGACTCCTCCTCTCCCCGATGACTTTCCTCATCTCCAGAGAGCACCGTCTCGTTAGAGTCCTCAGAGCCTGACACCACCCGAGTCCTCAGAGCCTGACACCACCCGAGTCCTCAGAGCCTGACACCACCCGAGTCTCAGAGCCTGACACCACCCGAGTCCTCAGAGCCTGACACCACCCGAGTCCTCAGAATCTGACACCACCCGAGTCTCAGAGCCTGACACCACCCGAGTCCTCAGCGACAGGACAACGCGTTGTGAACTGCGCAGCCAATGTCCGCGCTGCTGCAGTGGTTGAGGTCGTTGGACGCCGCGCCGAAAATATTACGTCACATAAGGCATTGAAGAGCTTCAAGAGCGACGTGCTTTCGCCGCCGCACGACAGCCGTTTCTGAATATATTTTAGTTGCTATCGTCGGCCCAAATTATCTTTTCTAAAGTCGCCAACGCAGACGGATGGCGCTAATCCAAACCAAAGCCACAAACTGACGCACATAAGATGTACTTGCCAGTCTGCACTCAGCGAATTCATTTAGCTCTTTCGGTTCAGTTATCCTGGGTACTGCACTGAAGCCGCTTTCAAAAGCCATTCAAAACCGTCGAAAATGAGGTTAGCTAAAATTAATATGCAGGACCATTTGCAGGTCCCTGCAGGTGGTTCTATCAGGGTCCCGCAGATGTACGATGTGGGGGTGTTGTTTTTCATTTCCATTCTGTTGGTGAGTTTCGGCCACCCTCCAAACTTGGTTCCGTCCCTTCCCTTCTCCCCTCCAAACTCTGGGAAGAAAGTGAGCCAAATCTGGGAAAAAACCCGTTTCCTGGCGCATTTTGAGGGTACGTTGAACCATTTTTAGCTGTTCAGTTCTCCCCGCCTCCTCCCACCCATTTTGCGAAACCGCGCCCCAATAACCTTTAACCTCAAATGACCTCTAAATCGGCGCCCGGAGGACAGCCATTGGTCATGGTTAGGACGCTCTGGTCAGTTGTCATAACCCGGACGTGGCAAACGGAGAGATCTGATCCCACGACTTGACGAGCTGGCCGAAGACACGTTGATCCATATGTTCTACAAGTCACAATCATATTGTCTATGTCGCACAGGAGAGTAGCCTGTAAGCACAGACTGCGTCTGGAGTTTGTTGTTGGTCATGACTGACATTTGCGGCTGCACCTGCCGCTACTTTACCGGTACTGCTGGTTAGTTGTTTGGATAAGAGCCTTTTCAACCACAAATGACCATTTCAGGGCTATGGGATGAAGGAAAATGGTTAACGGTGGGGCAGGCTTGCATGCGCTTAGGGGAGAGGTGGAGGGGGGGGGGGGGGGCAACCGTCGGGCTTGAACCTGCGCATGCGCGCTAGGTACCCGGTCGGGGTCCCCCTTCCCACGGGCCTCCCGGCCCACTCGTGGCTGACGCACGCAGCCTGTCCCGGACGAACGGGATGTCACGAGGAAGCACCATGATGCAAGATAGAGGATAAGAGGGGCGGATGATGGACCCTGCTGAATTTCGCTCCCCTTAAGTAGCTATGTCTGAAGAACAGTTTGGAGCAGTAGCGCAACCGAGGGACGGCCCCGGGGCCGGGGCAGCCTGATCCTTTCTTACGCCCGGATTTGTCGGTTTTTCACCATAGGGGCTCTCGGCAGAAAGCAAAAATTGGTGTGATGCGTACTCACCGATCGTTGCCCCCCCCCCCCCCCCCCTCCTCCCTCCCCGCCTCCCTTAAGATGGTCCTGGCTGCGCCTCTGGCCTGCGCCCTTGGTAACCTCCTCGCGCTACTTCTTATTCTTTAACCCGATTTGTGAGCAGCCTGCGTGTTCCACTGCTCCCATATCTGCGGTTAGGTGGCGTGGTGGTTAAAAAGCGAGTGTGAGAAACCAGAGACCGATCCGCGCGGTGTCAACCTTTCCTGCCAGCGTGAGAGGCAGGCTACACCATACTGTCACAGCTGCTGGGTGCGTCGTAAGCCCGCAATGACGACAGCAACAGCCGTGATATGTGCAACGATGCAGGGTTCCTCAAAGGGACCACCGGCGCATGCGGCGTCAACAATGGAATTCCCCAGGCCTACAAGCGATCGGACCACATCAGGCCACAATGATAATGACCAAAAAACAGTAAAACCTCAAAGATATGACGGAAAATGATGACGCTAATCACCCCGGCGGTATTCAATTGGGTTTCGCCAGTTGTGGCCATTGAGGACGTATGAGATGAACGAAAGTGGATGGCGGCGGGGCAAAAGCAAGAATTTGAACCCTGGAACTGTCCCAGCGCATGCCACGTGCTCGAAATTTTGACATAATGCGGAAAAAAATTGTTAGAAAACAAGAAAAAGATGCCAACACTTGTTCAACATACTTTCGGAGAGACCAGCGAAAAAAAGCAGACAGCCGGGCGAAGAGAGAGGCGGAAGCGATTCGGAACAGGATCAAATAAGAAAAAACTGATTCTCCGTAGCAGCTTAGATAAATTATCTCAGTGCCACTAACCACGCTCAGCGTGATTGGCGTTCTTCGGCACGCTAAGCACGCCTGGTAACAAGCTCAAAGCGTTTCGGATTCAGTGCCTCGAGTTGAGCTCAGCGCGGGACGACCAGGAAGTGATTACCTCCTGGGTTCCCCATTGCCAAACACTGCACGCAAGTTGCAACCTACGACGTCACAGTCAGGTGCGGCACAACAGTTCCCACGACTTGGAGTATAGCCGTTAGTATATGACGTAGATGCTTGTGACGTCATAGGTAGCATTTCACGTGGGTACTTTGCTAGCGGGGAACGCTGCGCTGGACTACCGCACAGAGGCGGACCCAGGCACGCTTTCGGGGACGACACACACGTACGCGAGACAACAGCACTGGTCCACCTTTGCCCGGACGGCTCACGCACACCCGTGACGTCACGCCGTTCACCACCTGAATCACCTGGCCACATCCCCTGGCGGCGCGGGGGTCACTGACGAGGCCCTCCACCGCTGCCCCGGCCCGGCGGCAGTGGCGCAGCCAGCGACCGCCTCGGGGGAGGACTTTGCTTGAAGCGCGCGAGCCCGAATATATCGGCTCAAAGCAGGAATCGGTGAGCAGTGAACAAGGAATGAACCAGCATTAACCAGTGTTAACCAGTATGAACCAGTAAAGCGCCGTGCGGCCGCCAATCCAAAGCGCGGGGTCCGCTCAGGGAGAGCGCCTGGCGTCGGCGCTGCCGATGGAGGGCGTAAGTTCCCGATAAACACGCTCGCCGAGGCCATGGGCAAACTGGCAACGTGACGCGGCACCAACGCCGCGCTATCTAAACTGGACTGTGCCGCCCCGCGATGTAAAGCTGACAACTGCACGAGATAGCTGGGGGATTTGATTACGAGCTGTGGGGTTGCGGAAAGATTGACTGGGTGTATATTGACGCGTTTTTGGATAATGATAATCTTGCTGAGAATGACTGGGTGCATACTGACGCGTTTTCGGAGAGTGATAGTCTTGCTGAGCATGCGAGTGCTGGTGCTTATGGCCACATGGGTTGCATTTCAAATGCAGGAAGGAATTGACATAATTAAGCGCGACGCCCATTATGGTCAGCATGTAACGTCTTGTTGTCTGATAAGCACTGCACTGGCGACACAGCGCTTGGCAGTCCAAGGAAATTAGTTCGATGAGAACAAAGTAAGGAAAAGTTAACCTAGAAGCAAGTGATGCTATTGTTCGATCTTGCGTGAACACAATGCCCTGCCTTGCTTGACCTCGTGTAAGGATGATGCGCTTGCTTGAAATTGGTTGGTAATATGAGGATTACCGAGTCCCATTCAGGAGTACACCATAGGTTCAGCTGTTGAGCCGGGTGTCCTCCCTTCGCTCCGATGTGAGGACACCAACTATTCCTCATTTCGACTTCAGTGGTGGAAACAGGGACACAGGGCACGAGCTTTCCGCGGCGACGGCCGCAATGGCGTCGAGGACCCGGTAGGAGACGATTGTAGGAAACCCCCCGCGACGGGCACTCCCCGCGCAGGGCCCCCCTTTGGGGTTTTGGGGTTTCCTCTTTGGGGTTTTGTGCGGGGTCCGGTGAGATCCAGCCCGGGCGGTTCTCACGCTCGCTGGTTCTTACGTTCTTACTTTCTTACGCGTCTGACGGGCGCTGCTTGCCCTGGTGAAACGGGCCAGCATTGCGAGAGTGAAGGACGAAGAAACGTTGCAAGAACGAAGGAGGAAGAAACGTTGCGAGAACGAAGGACGAGGAAACGTTGCGAGAACGAAGGACGAGGAAACGTTGCAAGAGCGAAGGACGAAGAAACGTCTCCAGAACGAAGCAGTGAGTTGGGACTGGAAGGCGGTTATTGCATGCTGTGATCCCACACAGTTTGCCGGTGCCGGATTGATGAGACTGGTGCAATAGTGATGTGGGTCATTGATGATTGACGTGGGTCATTGATGACTGATGCGGGTCAATCGGCAATCACATGAATGCAAAAGTGTTTTGAAAGCAAACAGCGCGACAAAGTCAAACACACCAAGGCAGTCAAAAGAACAACCCATTACGAACCCAGATGGGCAAAAGAACGAGAGAACAGCTTATCAGCAGTGACCGGGACATACGATTCCGGTACCGTAGCTCCGATCACGCCGACACCAATGCCGCACCGTGTTGACACGCGGCGGCACCGAGCGATGAGGCTCACACACTCAACCCGACGGTGACGCTGGTATGTGACCTGACCTTTGGGGGTCCAGACGGGTTCTGACGGCGGCGACGGAGGCGCTCTTGACTTTGCGGCGTCACTCAAAATTTGGCCGCCAGATGTCACCGGTGCGGACGAGGAGCCTGGGCGCCACTTGCCTGAAGGTGAGAGATTTGAAAATTAAAAAGTCATATCGCGCGTATCTGCTCTGATTGCTTATGACCAAGGATGAACACTCCGCTCGTTGCCAGGCTAACGTTGTCAGCAAGAGGAAGGGTTGATGAGTGATCAAAAAGCGTCATGACCGATTTAGCAGCAGCTTCCTTCTTTCAAAATCAACGGTTTTCTTCGCTTGTGGAGTGCTTCCTTTTGTATTACTGAAGGCTTGGAAGCATCGCACCTACCTGTCCGCGCAGGTGAAGTGCTAAACGGCAAAAAACCACATTGATATAGAACTTCTATCTTTCATTACGCCTCCTCTCATTGAATGTAGTGAAAACCAAAAACCACGCTACTGGAAAGCGTTCCTTAATACTGAGGCGTTCTTGCAAGTCATTGTAATGATAAGTGGATAAGAGGGTGTTCAACATGCTCTGCTGCACACAGGATGACCTAGGACCAGACAGGCAAGAGCGCTTGCTGGCGTCCTGGCCACACCCCCGCCTAATCATCAACAGGCCTTATGAAGTTGAGGCCTATTCACACCATCAAACAATGCTGATCTTGCATAATCACTACGTACTGGTTGCATCCCGTCTTGTGTCAATCCAAGCCGTTCCCGACTGCATTCAAGCGGCTGCACGCCGTTCCCGACTGCAATCCAGCCGTTCCCGACTGTTCCCGACTGCGAATATCCCACCCGAGCACCTTCTCGGGATCGCCAGACGCATCACAGGCGTGAAAAGTTCGGCATCAGGCAGTCACTACCGTGCTCAACATGTCGCTGCGAGGACACTGGAGCCTGATCTACGCTACACCTGCGGACAGCGCGGCGCCCGCGTCACGTTTCATGGTGACCCGCGCCGCCAGTCGAACACCACCGGGCTGCTGACAACCGAACGTGTCCCCACGCCGCATGCCGACTTCCAAGAGCGCGAGCCAACTACACCGCCGGTAGCGCGCGGCTTCTACAGCCGCCCGCCTCGCGTCATCCGCTCGGCCGCGCCACGCTCGTCGCCCGCGTGGCGCAGCAGCCCAACCCACGGCACGGTCTGAAGCAGAGATCGGCCTCGGCGCCAATCATCGCCGCCGCTAGGCCTACCGGGAGCTGCCGCGCCGCCTTACCTGAGTGCGGGGATTTCGCCGTGAACTGGGGCAAAATCAGAGTCGAGTCTGAAATCGGCATGGTCTGGTCAGGTGGGCTGCCTCGTCGGCTGAGCGTCGCACTGATGGGCCGCGAGGCTACACTGTCCGACCTTTTCGCGCTCACCGCACAGCTCACTGACTGTCGGTCAGGCGCGGTGAGTCACGCAGCTCGCCCCTGCACGACATTACCCCCGCCGACAAGGCAGTCGGGGTTGAGTTTCCCGCCCGCGACGCGCAGGAGTCGAGACACGCCCCACTGCACGCGGCCACGTCTGTCAGGCGGCTGGGCGGCAGACGTCAGGCGAGCTTCCTGGCGCTTCGAGGGTCCGCAGCAGTTAACAGAAGAGGCGCCTCCGGCATTCTGCACGCGCGCTGCGCACCGGATGTCAGGTTTGATTGGATGACGGCTTCGTCGGCGGACTCGATCAGAGGACCTCGATACACTACAAAGCGCACAGACGTTGCAGACCGTTCGTCGAAATTCGTAGTTTCTCCGGAAGCGGAGGGGCCCCGCAAGTCACGCGCGTGCCGAGCGGCCGCCCACGCAGAAACTCCCGCCGACGAGGCAGCGACGTCGGGCAGTCACGTGCGCGCGCGGCCAACGCAGCGCAGCGGGTGCGTCACAAACGGACCGCCAGCTGCGGCGGACGGCGCGCGCCGAAATACACACAAACGGAACGGTTTTAGCTCCGCGTCAACACGTCTGACGCATGCCAGGGGCGTAGTCAGCGGCGACAGTCGAAAGGCGTGACAGACGACAGCCACCTCCGCAGGAAGCTCGGCTATGCTAATCAAGAATAACACACAACGTTTCGCCCTTTTCATGGAACTGCGAAATCTGGGAAGGGTTTAAGCCCGAGCAATTTGCTTTCAGTTTAAATGCACACAAATGTGCAGCATGCACCTGAGATTCAAATGGCATCCTCCTTTTTGCCAAACGCCTATCTTTTCGTCGGGGTGTAGCTTCACATTCGTTTGGAGGGACTCCAGCCAACTTTGCTGTCGGCCTCTCCCTCCCCCAAATTGGAAAGGGAAGTAAGTTAAATTCGCGCAGAAATAAGAGGCGGACTGCGTGATAGTGGGAGGACTTTCAGTCATTTCGCCTGGCTCAGGCAACTAAGCCCGCTCTAAATGATTTTACAAAACTGCATACCTGCTGCACGCTGCAATAATTCGACGAAGTTTGACTTAAGCGTGGCCCCCTTCAAGGTCATTGCTAAGAGGCAGTCCCTTTTTCATAATGGCACCGCATTCTTCCAGCGTTATGGCAGAGGGCAAAGCGCATGTCTGGCAATACTTAATGGGTTAGAAATTAGGGTAGTTCCAAAGTTGTGTCGGGAAATCAGAATCTTCCGCTTGTTCCATGTGCAAAACGAACTGGGGTAACTTATTTTGGTACGTTTAGTCCCTTCAACGATACACTGCCCAATTGCTCAGATCTTATTGCTTATTCTGGATATCATGATCAGTTACGTCTAGATGCTCGATATTCATTTTCGCTCTCTCCACCGTCCTGTTTGGCTCTTTCAAACCGTACTTTATGAACCGGGTATTTCCTTCAGCCTCCCGGTTCACATGGTGAATGCGTCAGGGTTCCCGAATCAGAAATCAAAATCGTTGAGACAAGGTGGATATGCTCGGAATGAGCCCGGCAGATCCACCGATCAGTACGAGCGGACGCAGAAAACCAGGTCATGCTCTGTTCTGAAGATTGTCAGGGATTTTACTGCATGAGGAAGCGCAACATCCATCATCCAGACCACGCAATCTAGTAATCTTTAAAAACCTAGACGCGACTAATCGGACATCACAGAGGTCTTTTGTAGCAACACAACTAGAACGAATGAACTCAACTCCCTGGACGGTGCCCCCCCCCCCCCCCCTGTAAGTGTCAGGCGTTGTCACTGGCGAAAACGCAGGGGTATGGGGTGAGGGTGCTGTCCGCCTACCTCTCCTAAAAATAAGACGTGCTAAAGCTAACGTGACCGGAAGGCCCATCCGCTTTGGGAGGGAGGGGGGGGGGGTCCGACGCCCCTGTTATCAAATTCCCTGATTTCCTAAACTGGCGTGGGCCTGCGTCGGGGGTCCGCGCGAACAGCTCCCACGCCCTGACGCGGGTTTCCAGTTCCAGTATTCCCTTCCCCCAGAAGGCCTTCTCTGGCGACCCGCAGTGGCGGAGCCTCAGCTGGCTGGCAACGGATTCGCACAGGAAAAACATCACGCACACGGCAGCCGTAGTTTTTGGCAATTGTTGAAGCAACACATGTCAGCGCTGACAGGTTTCGTCTGAAGGTTTGCAGGCCTTCCTAAATTACGGGCGGCACTTGGTCATAATTGATCACCGCTCGGCAAATATATTTTGACAGGGAAGGCAGCTATCTTTACGGGCGCCAGTAATCCCGCTGGCACTGGTCTCGGGCGAAAGGAGCCGCCTGTCCGCGGCACGAGCCGTTTTTAATGCCCACCGTAGTCCAAACAAATCAGCTGGATCGCTGTGCATTCAGCGGTGGTTTGGGTTCGAGGAGAAAAACGGCAAAGAAAACACGGAAAGGCCATGATGTGCGCCTAACATAATTCCCAAAGAACGCAGCCCTCAGAAAGAAAGCACGGCGGTTTAGGAAAGTGTACAGTCTTAAAGCAAGCCTCGGCAACATTTTGAAGCTTGAAGAATTAAGCTTTTTGCAACCGGACGCACACTTCGAGCCCCAACAAATCATGATCATTAACAGAAGCATAACCCTATTCGCACAGTCGTATATCATGCTATGCTCTCTCCCTCACTCCCTCTCTCTCGCTCTCTTCCTCTTCCCTCCCGGCTCTGCTCAGCTATTTGCGGTGTCGGCCAAATCTGACCCTGAGCGAGCCGCAGGAAATATCAGAGGAGGGGTGTCGATATTTTGGGACGACACGCTGGCTGGCTGCCAGGGCACGTCTTGCCGAACGGGCCTACCTCAGGTGAGAGCGGCTCGGAAATCATGGCTTGGAAAGCTTGCGGCCAAGAGTGATGGGTTTCTCTAAGGCTGTTTCCTGACGACGAAAGTAAGTTCCTGACTTCCCACAAAAGTTTAGTGCGGGTACTGAGGTGATGTAGGGAAAACAAAACTTGCGCTGATATGATGTAGGGAAAAGGAAATAATTGATTGATTTGGTCCGCCCCATTCTCCACTTTTGGCGAATGCGGCAGACTAATTGTTCTCCACCATTGTTTGCCCAGATAAGACAGTAGTAATAGCCTTATTCCTCGGAGAAAAAGCGGAGAATGGAGATATAGATGCATTGATAATTCGGTAGCATGCCTTTGTTGAAACGAATAGCAGAAGAGTACGGATCCGTATCTCCGTTCTCCTGTCATTTTTTCTCCGGGGAATAACGCCATTATTACTGCTTTATCTATGTGAATAATGTTCCTCACAAACACACTCAACAATCTAGGCAATGTTTTCCCTCCTGATTCGACTGGCGGCTAGATACCTCTTGAACTTAACCAACCAACTTGACCAACCAACTTGAAGTAAGTACAACCAACTTGACCAATTTGACTAAGTCTTGACTTGACTAAGACCAACTTGAAGTAAGTCTAAGCAGGCAAGTCTCACAAAAAGAGGCATTCCGACAGTGAATTTGCATCGATTTCGCAATAGCTCTCCCTCTTTACTTAAGCATGTCAACCCTGTCTTAGCATATACGCCATGCAGTTAAGCAAGTACTCATCAGTTAATGGTGGCCGCTAGCAATGCTCGCTCACGTTTTGCAATACTGAGTCGAAGGTCACCCCCGCGAGGTCTTCGTCGATCCCGTTACAGTTGCCGAATTTGAAGCAAGTCGCTCGCCGAACAAGCGCGGAGTTTTAGTCACTTTCGGTGTTTCAGTGCCCATGTGTTTGACAGCGTCGCTAGACGACTTCGTCTCGCCCGTGACTAATCCTGGCGGTCATCGGGCGTCACACGCCGCGCTTGGCGCGTCGCGTCGTTTTTGTCTCGTTGACCCTGATGAGCGGTGTTGATGGCTCGCCGGCCGCCGAAAAAGAGTCGATCGGGCGTATTTTTACGCTGCTGTCGGCTCGTTAGCGTTCCCGTGTCGGCCAGGCGTCGACACTAACGCCCATTCGGGAAGTGACGCGCGTGCTTGAAACGCCTCACTGGCTTTTACATTGCGAACAAGCGTCAAATGCGGAACAGTGCCGGGCGACGCGGGTTAAAGCAGCGGTGCACCGGCGAGCGTGGGAATTTTTAGCGGACTCCGAGGATTCTGCATGTTGCGATCAACCCTGAATGTTGTGAATTGCAGATCCAGTAAGCACAGACGTGATTTTAGGGTCAAGAATGCCGTCCGGAAATCAGGCGACACTGCTAGGCTCTATATCTCACGTTATAGAACATCCGGGAACGCTTCGCGTCAGCTGTGCCATTCGTCGTTCATGTTTGTGTTCCTTTTTATGACGTATGCCTCTTATCTCAACGCCTACGGTTTTATATTGCTTTACTTTTAATCCGTAATGTAAAGCAAGGCTGAGTGCTCAACGTGTCCTCAGCACGCAAGCCAGCATCCAATGATGAACGCAAGTAGGGAAATTATTGATATATGACGCCTGTCTACCCTTATTATGATTATCATCAGCCATCAATATTTTGAAGGAGCCGGAGCGATCAATGACGTTTAATAAAATGGCGCAATTGCAAAGGTTAGGATGTTCGAGATTCATCAAATATGACCAAGCCAAAAGATATAGGAAAAAATAAAACGGTGCAAAGCACGCGCGCAACAGATCGGTGTGAGGTATGCACGGAGCAGAACAGTGAGAGCGTGTAACGTATCTGGCACCTTCACATGAATGAGAAGGAAGGCCAGGCCATAAAAACTGCGAAGCACGACGTGCTGTTCAGCTAACTGGTGTGAAAGGCACCCGTTGCCGCGGGTCACTGGCGATGCCAAATACCCAGCATCTGCAAGGCATCACGATTGTTTGAAGAAAGATGCTAATCGTTATCATAATCATAATCATATAATCGACCGCCACCAGACACATT